GCACAGAGATCAATGTATGTGCACAAACATTTAATGCATGTACACATATAATTTATACTTTTTTGTCTGTGTTTAACAATTTTGTCTGGGCACACAGAGAAAATTGTTAAGTACAAACAAAAATATACAAATTGTATGCATACAAACAACCAAATGTTTGTATAGGAGCATTGAGTTCTGTGTTGTGTTGCATAAATGCTAGAGTGTGGTTGCACGAAAATTAATCTCTGCACACACATTTAATTATCTGTACATCGACAATTTCTATATTTTTTGTCGACACTTAAGAATTTTGTCTGGGCACAACAGACACTGAAAAATCAGTGTCTATATTCACACAAAAAAATTTGGTGAATGTTCATCTCTAATTTTCCGGTGACTCTCAAACATCTTGTTTTCCAATCTTAGAAGTTAATAATGATAAAGATGATAAGGTGATGAATATGGAAGATAATGAAGATGCAAGGTGATGAATGTGGTGAGGTAAATGGAATGGAAGATGATGGAGATAATGAAGATGAATAATTAAGGGGGGTAGAATGTGACACTTCAAAAATTTAAATAAAAATAAAAATAATTTTTATTAGTCAGATAAAATATTACGAAAATAACATTTTAATAATTAATTGAGTCAGACAAAAATTCAACAGTTGTGACATTCCAACCAGATAAAGAAGTAACGTTTTTATAATAATGAAGTACCAGTTATACAAATGGTATAAGTAATAAAAGTTATTTTATAACCATTTTAAGTTGTATATAAAATACACAAAGTACAAAAATTGAATTTTTAAAATACTCCTAATAAGTCAAATACACTTACGTAATAATACTAAGACTACACAACTAATGAGTAAGGATTTAACTAAACTACCACTTACGTATTCTACCAGATATATATCAGATATAGATGTATCCGGCCATATTCACGATATACTTGCAGAATTGTGATCACACTTAAACACTATCCTACGCACGAACAAAACTCTCCGGCTAAAAAGCCTAAACTTTCAAACCAATCGGATATACTCCAACGCAGATACAAACGAATTCAACACAAACTCTAACTTCCCTCGATCTACACCTATAAATAGTAGCCTAGACCGACGTTTTTTTCATCCCCAAAAAGCTTCAAACGTTTAACATATATATGTATACACAAAGTATATATATATATAGGCGGAAATCCAACCCAGAGTTATACTATAAACTGAGCCCTGAAAACACTCTAGAAACCTTCCCCTTCGTAAGAGGAATCCAACGGAGAAAGAATCAAGCAAAACGGTCGTCAAACGTGGAAGAACAAGCTCGCCGGAGTAGCCGCCGGACTGGTTTTCCGTCGAAGAACGAAGCAACTGCTGCCACCGACACCAGCTGACTGCCATCCTTCTCCGTCCACAGACACGCCGCCCCTCCGTCGTCACTGTAGGTTAGCTTCGGCCCTCTGCGTTTTTTTTTCCTTCTTACCTGTGCGTTTCGTCACTGTAGGCAGAACCTCTGCATTCAGTGCTCCTTTGTATTGATGGGCTAAAACTTTGGGCCAGTAAATTAAAAGAAGTTGGGCCAGTTCGGCCCAGTTGCAATAAAAATTGAAAATAAAATAGTAAATGAAATAAATAAAATCTGGAAAAATATAAATTAAATACCTAGTATAAATATACGTATTCGGGCCAACCAGAATTGAAAGATAAAATTTTTAGCTATTTTTAATGGATTTAATTGTAATTGGGCCAATTTATACACAATTAGTAAATAATTAACTAAATAACGAAAATAATTATGAAATAAATATTGGAGTAAACTAGGATAAATATATGACTAACTAGAACCTTATGGACCATTTATAATTAATAAAAATAAAGATTTAGTATATTTAATTGTAATTGAACCGGTTATTAGATATATGAAATTAAAGGAATAATTATGGAAAATAATTATAAAATAGATATATGGACAACCTAGGTCAAATATAGACCCAAAATATAGTTATAGACGGTTATTAATTTATAAAGTCGACTCTTAGTCTATTTATTTGAATTAGGCCATATAAAACTAGTTAAGTAATTAAATAAGGAAATATTAATATTAATGGTGAAATAAATAAATCATTGAGATTGAAAAATAATATTCTGGACTAAAAACGATGTTGTAATAAAATAAGGAAAATAAAATAAGGTTAGGTTAGCTAGCATAAATAATTGACTACATGTAGACTTAATAAATAACTTAATTCTGTAATTAGTGGACTAATTAAATTAATAATTTTTATGATTGATTATTAGATATTCGGACTTCATATAAATATTTAAAAATATTTGAACTCATAAATTAATGGGTTAATATAAATAAAGCAATTAAATAATATTTTTTTGAGTAGAGTAAATTAATGGTGGTTATTGAATAAAAAAAAATGGATGTTGTAGTTAATTATATTCGGATATTTTATTTAATATTAGAATTCAAATATTGTAATTAATGACTGAATTAATAAGGTAATTTAATTAAAAAAAAATGATTAATTCGGATAATTATTTAATTAAATTAATAAATTCGAATAAGGAAATAAAAAGGGGAAAACGGGTAAAATAATTATAAATAGAATAAGTGACTAATTATATCATCTTAATTAAAAAGGTGAATATTTAGAGGCCGGAATTGAGGAAGAGAATTAGGAGCACGAGGACTTAAGGTAAGTTTCACGTCAACCGATATTAGTTCTTTTTCTTCGTGATTTCTTTTACATATTTTTGTGTGCATATTTGAGAATTGAATTTATGTGTGCTGAATTTGAGTGAATATTATTATATGAAAGGGTTGTATTTGAGATAATAGTTGATATACTGTTTTGTTGATATGAATTATTGTATACGATTTTGGGATATTTTGTAATAGTACGTAATTTGTTATCTTTGTGGGAGTTTGATAAAAAGGGAATTTTTGAAGTATAAACTTCGATTGATTTAGAGAAAAATAAATATTTTCATAAAAGGTGAGCATCACGGGAGAAATCCGTGGTGTTGGTTTTCCACGTCCCTTAAAATGTGGAGGATGGTTAGGTCTACTACTACTCAATTTTTGTGGTTTTGGTTTGAGGTGAATTGACGGTCGGTAGAAAACATCCCGGCTTTTGAGTAGTAATGGTAGTAGTAGCTCCTAATCATTCAGGTTTTGAGGTGAGGTAGTTGGTAGAAAACATCCCGGCTACCCGGATCGACTTACTAACCCGGAGGGCTTGGAATACCTTTAGGGGGTGTGCACACTTAAAGTAGTTGTTTCCGTTTCCAAGGAGCAGTTGTGGTACCGGCGATAGTTCCGGGGTGGCCGTACATAACAACGGACCACCGGGCTCAACCAAAGTGTTGAGCACCGCCCTTCTAAATTACTAGGAAGTTAGATACAAAGTGATTTTGGGAGAAATTCAAAAGAGGAGAATTTTGGTGTTTCATGTATTTTGGAATTATTATGGTTTACCAGTTAATTATGTGATTGGGATTTTATATAGATATCGTTTACTTATGATTTATGGTTTATAAAGTGTTTTGAAAAATATTTTATGAGGTTGTACGAATTTATATATATTATTTATTATTATTTTAAAAGGTTAGGTGGAACTTACTTAGCATTATTGCTAATGTTTGTTTTCTTTTATTTTTCTTGTGCTCGTATTTAACAGGAGGTGATCATGTTGATTTTGATGCTGAAATGTTTGAGAGCGCGAATTAGAAGACAACTATGTAGCTCACTAGAAATAAACTTTAATATTTGCTTATGATTCGAACATCTTGATTTTTGTTAAACTCGTGTTTTGATAGATAGCCTTAGCATCCAATCATTCACGGATTGGATGTGGCGGTGACATGCCCCTTTTACTTAGTTTTATTAATTTCCGCTGCAACTTTTGAAGTTTTAATCATTAAATAAAAGTTCATCTCTATTTCAAAGTATTATTTTGGGTGGAAAATTTGGGGGTGTCACAATATTCACACAAAAAAATTTGGTGAATGTTCATCTCTAATTTTCCGGTGACTCTCAAACATCTTGTTTTCCAATCTTAGAAGTTAATAATGATAAAGATGATAAGGTGATGAATATGGAAGATAATGAAGATGCAAGGTGATGAATGTGGTGAGGTAAATGGAATGGAAGATGATGGAGATAATGAAGATGAATAATTATTGTGTGAGTGATGTTCTTGAGATGTTTAAGGTTGTTATGTAGGGCTTTATTTTTGTTGAGGGTCAAGTTCAGGATAGGATAAGTGACAAAGATTCTAGGTCGATCATGGCTAGCTTACAATTGCCTGTATGAGGATTAACGAATCACATTATTTCTATTGATGTGATTGATTCTAAGATTGGTCCAAGGGCGTATGATCGAGCTATGGTTTCTAGTCTTACTAGCTTGTCTTTTTTCTCTGGTCTTGATGTTACTTGTGGAGATTTTGATATTTTAACATAAGCCGGTTTATAATCCCAGATCAGACCAGACCAGACCAGACCAGACTTGAATTATTATATACGGGGTAATACTCAGAGATCATATTAGACCAAACTAGATCAGACCAAATCAGAAAATTTCTGTTCAATCAAAAACATATTTATTCTGAGAGTGATTAAACCTAGGTCTCATTGTAGAGGTTCCAAATGATTTCAATCATTTGATATAAGTTTTCTTCGATCAAAAAGGAAAAAAGAAATTCAAATTATCTCGTGGATGTAACTCAACTGATAGATAAAAGTGCTATAAGGGGTAAGTCTCTCCTTGGAATTCAGGCGATTCCTATCAAAATGCATAGAGTTACTTAAGGGGTGTTTGAATCTAATTATTAAAACTAATTCTTTTCTTTCAAGTAGCAGAAGTAGATATTAGAGTGTTTGAGTGAAAGTGCTAAAGTAATTCTGCATGCTTCTGATTATTCTTAGAAACAATTTTTAAAAGTTGAGGGAGACGAATTTCTGAATAACTTATTCTGCTTCTCCTTTAGGAAGCAAAAGCAAAATCAATTCCAAAAAACTGACTTTGATTCTACGGTTTCGAATTGATTCTACTTTTTTTTTAAGAACAAGAATAAGAATCTACCCCAACTTCCGTCCTTTGTCTGATTCAAAAGAGTACAGCTGTTTTACGGATCCAAACTTTTCTTATTCCTGTTTTACAAGACCAAACTCCCCAATTCTGCCTTGCTACGTATCATACGCTCGCTGTGGCAGCGATTTCCGCCCACTTTGGTGCGTCCCTGCTTTGAACGGAAGAAGTAAATATGGATAACAAGGCCGGAGCTTCGAGTTCGGAAATAGAAGTGACCTGGGGCGACCAACAGAAAATTAACCAATTCAGCAGACTAAACACTCGTTTCCATGAGCTGGAAGATGAAATCAAAGTTGCTAAGGTAATAATTTAACCTTTTAAGCGCTTCATTTATTATTCATTTCTTTTGTCGTAATTATTGGTTGTTGAGAAATGGGTAGGAATTGAATATGTTATTAATGAAAAAAATGTGTGATGCAATTTTTGTGTTTATCACGTAACTACTACTGAAATTTTAGTCTCTTCGCGGTGTTCCTCATAGCCTAAGACCCCTAATTAAGCAAATTCAGCTGTTGACTAACAGTACATATTCTCTAGTTGCTCCTGCGCCCCCAAACTCCAATAATAGCCATGGTCTATCCCACTCTTATATGTTGTTTGGTATATACCTAACAACCCTGAGTTGTGCGTTCTTATTGCTACTAATCAGTTATAACAATCTACTAATCTGGGATAAAAAGTGCACCTCTCCTCCCCTAAGATAGAAGGGGTTGTTCTTGAATGCAGATGTAGTAATCATGGATTAATTGATGTATATTTAGGGGGTGTTAAGCCCTTTCAGACTCCCTTGAACAGATATTGAGATTTCTTAAACTCCCTTGACTAACTAGCTGATTAGGAAAAAATTTCTCATTAGTTTTCATTAGCCTGAACTTTACCTATTTAAATACAAAAACCTTAAACTAATATCAAGAAAATAAAATGAAAAGTAACTAAAAATGAAGCAAACGTGCATGAGTGGAAGAAACGCAATCTCTTATAATTACTCCTGTAACTACCCAAATTAAGCATAACTTATTCATGCAACAACCCATGGAAAGTAACTGAAAGTAAATAAAAGTGCCAGGGCAAATGCATGTTGCTAAGCTTCTCTTCTCCGCATTGATTGCAGCTGCAACGTGCTAGGAACATAACATTCTCCCCCACCCTATTTTCACCCCCTTTTCCTTTCTATTCCCTACATTTTTGTTCTACATTTCCTATAATAGTGCACTTTCATCATTTGTAACGGAGCCAAAGACTCACTATTTTTTGGCTTGGGAATATGACGGAATAAAGCAAAATGGCTCATTAAACTGTTTGTGTTTCGTTGTTATAAAACAACAGTCAGTTCATGCAATTTTTTATGCGATTTTCCCTATGGATCATCTGGAAACAGTCTCTATGTGCTTTAGTACAAGGTAAGATTGCGTACATCTGACCCCCTTTACCCCATAGAAGGTGGAGCCTTTGCGGCACTGGGGTAATGACAATGATGATTTCCTACAATAGTGCATTTATGCCTGCAGGTGTAGTTTTAATTTGTAAAAGATAATTTCAGTTTGGATCTTTTGCACCTAATTTCATTCGGGTGTCTATCTCACCGTGTGGATCTTCACGCCTAGGCTAATAATGGAACAATACAAGATGTTTTTTATATGAAAGAACGTGTCTTATCCAAGGTTTTAAATTGCGTATTGCGTAGGCGTGGTGGTTTTTTATTATTGCATACTGTGTAAGCCTCATTGCGCAATGAGGCGTATACCTGAGGCATAAAATGATAAAATGTATATATATATATGTGTGTGTGTGTGTGTGTGTGTGTGTGTTTATAAACACAAGTACACAACTAAAAATAAAGAAAAGTACTCATAATCTGTTTTGTTAACCAAAGTAATTTTATTAATAACATTCTTAACATATTAAAAGTCAGTTGAAAAGAGCTACACTAGTTTAGAACAAATTAAAACAGAGCTCTAACATAATCTGTTAAAACGGTTTAATAAAACAGTTTTATTAAAACACTTTTTTATCATACATTCAGTGATGTTAACTAAACTAGTAGAGTAACATATCAAAACAAAGTTCTTAAACAAATCTTTTCAGATTGTTATCCAAACTAGTAGAGTACTCAATTTGTTAACTAAATAGACTAAAATAAAGTTACTAAACATATTTTTTTCAGTTTTGTTAACTAAAAAAGTAGAGTAACATATAAAAAATAGTTCTTAAACAGATTTAATATTAGCACTAAAGTTGTTAACATAAACTGAAATAAACTGAAATAACATAGTTCTTAAACATAAACTAGTAGCATTAGTATTTAGCACTAAAGTAAATAGTAAACTTAATATTAATATTATATTTGTGGTTAACATCAAATATAAAAACTGAAATAACATTAATATTAAAATTTGTAGAAAATAAGAAAGTAATAACATTAATATGTAGAAAATAATAAAGTTGTAGAAAATTAGCATTAGTATTTAGCACTAAAGTAAATAGAACACTAAATATTAAGAAGGGAACACAATATACACTCAACCTGTAGGGAAGCAGCTTCAGTGCAGGGATTAAACGCAGATGAGCTTCTTCAACATAGCTCAGCAACAGGTTTTCGAACGCATGTAGGGAATAGCTTTAATGCAGGTAGGTAACACGTTTGGGAACTTAAAAAATAAAAAAGTGGGGCATATCAGCCCACATATCTATGTAAACTACTAAGGTGACCTCTTGTTGCGCATCATATATGGTGTACGCCTCTGCGCCATAAGGCTATCGCTTCAGTTGTGCACTATTAGCAATGTAATATTACACCTTTAGTTTGGAGTCCGGAGAGGCGCGCCTCATTGCGCAATTTGATTCAATGGTCTTATCCCACACTGCAGATATGTAAAAAATATAGGAACCAGTATTGTCACAGAAAAAGGATAGCACGTGTTCTTTTTTCAAAAACAATTCTCAGAATAATTCTTCAGTGATATTCCCATCTATTTTAAGTATTTGAGATCTATTTTACTAAGAACAGAGATATTAACGAAGATGTGAAGTAAATGCTAATGCACGTTGGCTAAAATGGAATGGAGCGATATGAATACTATGTGATCATAATATACTCCTACGGTTGAAGGGTAACTGTTGTAGGACTACTAAAAGATCGACTTTTTGATATGGATGATGGATCCAGATCGTTGACAATGAAATATATTCAATAAAGACAAATGTTTCAAAGATGCGTATATTATGATGGATGTATAGTAGGATTAGAAAAGACAAAGCCCTCGGTTCACGTGAGAGTTGGTATAGTGGCTGTTGGAGTAAAGTAAGAGAGAACAGCTGAACAAGTTTTGTTGGTTCTGACGCATCATTTGTCGAGAAGTGTCCTCGTACAGAAAGTGGAGTCTTGAAGATTCAAAGAGACATTAGGCTGAAAATGACACATATTGAAGGTGTGAAATTGGAAATTAGAGCGTTTGTCCTTACTGACCATATGGTTTACGGCCATTTACCATAGATAATCGTGGAAAAAGAAGATTCTGGTAAAAGACCTTGGACGACTTATAATGGGTTCATGTAGTCAATCCCATTTATCTAGGTTGATGACTTGGTGTTGTGTTCTTCACAAATACAATTTTAATTTTACACCATCATAACCTATTTGTATTTTATTATTTATAGTTATCAATCATCATCATCATTATCATTACCTCAGTGCCGCAAAGGTTCCCCATACGGTGGGGTAAGGGGGGTCGAACGTACGCAGTCTTACCCTTGTACTAAAACGCAGAGAGACTGTTTCCCGATGACCCCTAGTGAAAATCACGTCAAAAATTGCAGGGACTGACGGTTGCTTCATAACAAAGAAGCGCAGACAGTTATTTATAGTTATCAATAAGCTATGTTTAATCTTTTAAATTTGGAGTATGGGAGAGAATTATAATATGCATATTTAAGTATGTATATGTGTGTAAATATATGCACGCACACACATATATACAGATACACGCATAATAGCTTCATAATACCCGGTTCTTTCATCTTTGGTGTGGTTCTTGTGGGCACATAACGGTATGGTTAAGGTACAATTTCGGTGTGGTTTCACTTGAGAACCAGTTCTATGGTATTTTTTGTTCATTTTTGTTCTGGTACGATTTGGAATGGATATTCGGTATTGGATGAAAACAGTGAGATCCACGCTCAGCCCTGATCACTCCTGATGTTCTCGTAGCTGCACTTAATGCACCCTGCACTCTGTTTCTTTCCCTGATGTTGAGATAGTTCTCAAGAAATTTAAACTGCGTATTTTGTAGTCTCTTATAGTCTTATATGATGTTAATAATGTTTGCCTTTGCTTGATTATCCAAGCCATGATTAATTTTTGTTGTCTTGCTTCGTACAATTTCCCTTTTGTTCATTCTGGATACCAGCTGACTTTATGGCCATAATACCTGGCAGGAAAAAAATGAAAATCTCGAAGATGCGAGCAACGAGTTGATTCTCACTGATGAGGAGGTAGTGCGTTTTCAGATAGGAGAGGTTTTTGCGCATGTAGCGAAGGAAGAAGTTGAGAGCAAGATAGAGGACATGAAAGTGGTTACTAGTAAGAGTCTGGAGAAACTATTGGAAGAGAAGGAGGCGATGGTTGCCCAGATGGCCGGGTTGAAAAAGGAACTGTATGCGAAATTCAAGGATTCCATCAATCTTGAAGAGGATTGATGAAGTGACATAGTTACTAATATTGCACTTCGTTTTGCCCTCCACAAATTTACATGTCATTCGATGGGGGTGGGGGTGGGGGTGGGGGTGGGGGGATCCCTTCACATTTATTTTTTTGATTCATATTATAAGGATTCTGCCTGCCTGTGAAATTTTCGGTGCTCCATTTTGTTTGGATTTGTTATTGCTATCACAAGCTGTACGTTCCGTTTGATTTGATTACTTGATGTCTATGTAGTGTTAAAGTATCCCAACTTCCAAGGACCTAATATTTTAGATGTACAAAATAATGTAGAGAAGTAGAAGCAAGGGATGTAAAAGTATAAAAGAATACAAAAAAGTAAGGATGTTTATGTAATCTATAGATTTAAAATTTATTTATTTTTGCAAGGGAAGTATCTAGCTTTTATTAATTAAATCATTGTTCAGAACATGAGAAATAAAAAGCGGGTACTCAAAAAACCAAGAACGCAAAACAGATATAGAACAAGCAGTCCTAGCAATTGTATGAGTTGTCTTATTCGTTGATCGCCGAAAGAAATGATAGAAGAATTTTTCGCTATATCTCTTATATCATCGGCTATCAAACTATACGACTATACGAGGAACGACTGGATCCCTTCAAAATCCGTCCTCCAAGATTTAAAATTTATTAAAGTAGAAAAATGTTGCAAATGGTAAACTAATAATGAACAATTTGTAATCTAAGTTACAGTTTTTTTTTTTCAACTAAGTCACAACTTTTAAAAAGTTGCACGTGTGTCACTTGATAATGAACATTTTTTGTTTCACACTAAAATGGTTTCATATTCGTGTGATCTAAATCCATTTGTAATCTACAAATTTAACATCAACTACATATATAATTGCACTCCTCATAATTAGTGTGGCATTTCCTCATATCCCAAATATAATGGGCAAGATGTTTTTTTGAAAAAGAAAATATTAAAAAAAAACTGAAGTAGCAATGACAATCAAATAAAACTACTAGCCTAGACAAAAGTTCAATGATGAGACAAGCTAGTCACAAAAATGATATAGACAAGTGTTTAAGCAATAATTTGATAAGCTAAAACTAATTAAAAAAGAAAATTATATGAAGAATGGGTCTCGTACAAGAGCAATGAAGGAGATGATAAATGGGTGAATAAAAGTGAAAGCTTGTGTATTATTCGAATGTCAGATGCCCTGATTACAATGATGGATATCCTATTTATAGGAAGGGTAATTAATGCTCTCATGATGACTTTGTACGTTACTGACGTGTTGGTCGCACTTTATGACGATTTCAAATCTATCATAAAGGCCGGTCAATTACAATCAATATCTTCATTAACCATATTAAAGAGGCTAATAATACATAAAGACGTTACAATAATTGTCCTTAGGCCTTGCAAATGCTCCACTAGCTCGAGTTGTCCGTTACGAACGGTTTGACTTGACGGTTCCGACCCGACGGTTTCACAACTTGTCATTAATGCTGGTCAGCTCAAAACAAGTAATCTCCTTCCTTAATATCATTATTAACCATAATAATAAACACAAATCCATTTCAACAGCCATCATTAAGCCTCATTAACTTCTGTGATCAACCCTCTTTAGTGCAACATAAACCGTCAAATTTTTGCTCTAACAACGAGCTAGTCCTTAAATGGAAAATGACACTCCACTGAGTAACATATAGATCCTCTACCAAGTTTAAGATAAAGATCTGGAGCTCCAGAAACTATAGAGTAAAATCAAGACTCCAAAAGTAAAAAGTAGTAATAATGAGTCGTTAATATCGGTTATGCAAAGCCCTCGTATAATTCCGGTGTAATTGCATATTTGCCTCATCTGAATAAATACCAAAGCCATTTATTCTAGTCTTATAGACTGTAGTCACATTTTCATTTAACTTTTGTAGTGGTGGTTCTAATAGAATTAATAATAGGAATATTTTATGTATTTTACATTAAACTCTTTTTACTATAAATATATTTGTCATAGCTCCTTAGAGAGCATCATGTTCCGTTATTTCACATTGTATCAGAGCACAGTAAAAACCCTAATATTTTTTCTTGATTCTCTCTCTACTGCCGCTGATGATGTCATCACCCTCGACGCAAGCTTCTTCCGCAGCGCCGTCCCTGGCAAACTCCTCCGCTAGATTCTCTTCTTCTGTCGCGGCAGGCTTCTCCCTCTCTCTTTCTGAATCTGCCTCTGGCGTTTCCATGGCCAGCCCACACTGCAGTGTAACGGATATCCTTGGATTTGCCTCCCTTCTCGGTCGGGTGTTTTTCTGGGCCCACGTTCGTTGGATCACCGGGAGTCTCTTCTACCCTACCGCCTCCATGAAACACTGTGGGCAGTACAACCGGTTCCCCCGGCAGAACTCGTACACAGTATCTCTCATGTGGCCACTAATGTCACCAATATTGTTACCACAAAGCTTCTAGCGGTGGAAGACTATACTACTTGGCGTACCCAGTTTGAGTCGTTTCTTGCCTCCCAAGGTCTTATTGGCATGGTTGATGGCTCAATTCAGGTACCACATGCTTATTCCATAGATATGCTCAACCGTCAAACTCTCAATCCCAAATTTTCTACTTGGCTACGAATTGATCAAATAATTCGTTCATGGTTATTTGCCACTCTTTCTCGTGATGATCTCATTGATGTTCAGGATTTAAAACATTCTTGTGAAATTTGGGAACGGTTAGAGTCTCGATTTATGTCAGCCAGTTTAGCCAGATCTATGGAATTAAAGTGCTTATTTTCTCAAATAAAAAAGAAACCTGATCAGTCTATGGACAATTATTTAAGGGAGGTTAAAATTTTGGTTGATGATCTAGCTATGATTAATTGCCCTGTACCTCCTCGTGAAGTGCTCAAAACTACTATTATGGGGTTAGGACCTGAGTATGAGTCCTTGTTCACTACTGTCTCGTTATTCCCTCAAAATTTCTCTTTTGAGACACTACGCAATCATCTTCTTGAGCTAGAGCAGCGGTGTAACACTTGAGATTTAATTTAAACGGATTAATAGTACTACTCATACCAACAAGGTGCATCTCCTTTTAAGGGAGCTCATTAGCCAAAAACTCCAAAGTTAAGCGTGCTTGCACGGGAGTAGTCTTGGGATGGGTGACCCCCTGGGAAGTTTCTCAAGGCGCGCACGAGTGAGGACAAAGTGCGCGGAAAAGGCTAGTGGCGGTTTGTGAGGACAGTACTAGAGGTCAGAAGTAACTACCTCGGGGCCTACGGGGCCGGGGTGTTACAGGTGGTATCAGAGCAACCCTGCGACAGTGTGCTGATCCGTTGGATATCGGGCGGGCACTTAGCAGGGGAAAAGATTCTGGGATATGATTGAGATTGGTTTATGGGCGCAACGAGGACGTTGCGTTCCTAAGTGGGGGTGATTGTAACACTTGAGATTTAATTTAAACGGATTAATAGTACTACTCATACCAACAAGGTGCATCTCCTTTTAGGGGAGCTCATTAGCCAAGAACTCCAAAGTTAAGCGTGCTTGCACGGGAGTAGTCTTGGGATGGGTGACCCCCTGGGAAGTTTCTCAGGGCGCGCACGAGTGAGGACAAAGTGCGCGGAAAAGGCTAGTGGCGGTTTGTGAGGACAGTACTAGAGGTCAGAAGTAACTACCTCAGGGCCTACGGGGCCGGGGTGTTACAAGCGGGTCCTCTATCTTTGTTCCCAGGAGACGTCATCTATTCACCAAGCATTTGGTGCTGCTACCTCGTACCATGCACAGCCAACTGACCAGCAGTCGCTGGTTCTCAGACGTCGGGTGTCCAGCAGCAACGTCCACAAGGGCAGCCGCAACGCGGCCGTGGGTGCGGTCGCGAACAGCAGGGGGTGCCTTATGGACCGCCTGCGTATTGGTATGCACATTCGGGATATACCGCGGCAGGGGGTGCTCCTTCGGTTCCAGCAGGGTTTGCTCCCAATGCAGGGGCTGTGGCAACTACGGGTATTGTTGTTTGTAATTCTGCTTTGTCACATTTAAATATTAATGCATTACATGTTGGTGTTACTAACTTTAGTTCTGCAGGCTTACCATCAGACAGGGGTATTCTTGGTTCTGTTCCACATCCCGTTGTGTGTCAAATTTGCTTTTCTGCAGGTCATTCTGCGGTTACTTGTCCCTCACGCTTCACTCAGCCGTCCACTCCAACTCTGTTGACTACTCATGGTGAATCTAACCCAACTCTATGGTATCCTAATTCGGGAGCTTCTGCTCACATGACTGCATTCGAAGGTATTTTACAAAATAAATATGTTTACACTGGTTATAATTCTGTTAGTGTTGCTAATGGTGTCCATTTACCCATTTGTCATGTTGGTGATGTTGCATTACCTTCCTCTGGTCGTTCTCTCACCTTAAAATCTGCTTATCATGTGGCTCAGTTAAAATATAATTTAATTTCCATTCAAAGGCTTTGCGCAGATAATAATTGTACTGTCATTTTTGATAAAAATTCTTCTTTGATTAAGATTTAAGGACAATGCCTCGAGGGCAGTTCTTCTGCGAGCTACCAGTAGTGGGCCACTCTACCATCTCCGTTTGCCGACGTCTCCATCCTTAGTTTTAGCTTATGGCCATGTGTGGCAGCGTAGACTAAGTCATTGTGGTGATAATATTTTACAGTTCCTTAAACGTCGATAATTTTTATGTGGTTATTCTCCATTTACTCATGATTGTGTTGCTTCTCGGTTAGGAAAATCACAACGATTGCCCTTTACAAATGCTAGTCATAATTCTTCTCTTCCTCTACAAATTATTCATTCTGATGTATGGCAACCTCCAATTTGTTCTAATCTGGGGTTCAAGTATTATGTTTTTTTCATTGATGATTATTCTCGCTTTACTTAGATTTATCCCACGTGTCACAAAAGTGAAGTTTTTATGCACTTTAAGAATTTTAAAGCTTTGGTTGAAAATCTTTTTAATTAGAAAATTAAAATTTTCCAAAGTGATGGGGGCGGTGAATTTGTTAATCTTAATATGCAGCAATTTTTCTCAGCTAATGGAATTTATTTTCAAAAATCTTGTCCTGACAGAC